TTTCCCTACGAGCCCATTGCATTTTAACCCAGAGCGCCTCAGTTAGCCCCTCTTCTGAACCCATCCTGATCATTGAGGACATGTATTGCTCTTTGACGTAGAGCACTACAACCCTTTTTTCCCTGCTCTGTCCCTCCTATACAGCCTGTGTCACTCAATGTCCACTGCTTATTTGTGGGTAGACTCTCACCAGGTTTCCATGAGCCCTACTAGGTCAGGGTTTTTGCTAGCTAGGAAAAGGGTGAGTTCCTCTTGCTTGTTCCCCTTGCGGCCTCCTGTAGGTACAGAATTTCTTGCATGTTCCTGCACAGGTTAGGTGTAGGGACCTCACCTAGTCTTGAACTTACAACCTTCTATCTAGGTTGTCAGCAGGGAGAAAGCCTTAAGCCACAGAGCCAGCACACCTGTTATGATAAAAATAAGCTTTTAAAAATATTAACTGTGTTACCAATTGTTTTTATTTCATTTTATCTAGTAGGATTACATCTGAGAAATGGAGAGCAACATTTATCATGTTTATGAAAATGAAATTCAATCTTTGGAAGAAGAAATTGAAACATTAGCTCAGGAGTATGAAAACAATCAACTGGAATCTACACTTTATTCTGATGAGAAGATACTAATGCCAGTGTATGTTTTCTTGTTTTATAGGTTTAATTTTATTTTTCTTTTATTAATGTTTCTTCAGCAGTATTCTTTAGTTCACTTGTCTTTTTATGGTTGCCATAAAGTAGGTCTTTGGAGCCGGGTCTGTCTTTTTCTTTTATGACTGAACATTACTTAGTGCAATGGGATCCCAATGCGTAAATAGGGCTCATAGGTACTGAGGGAGAACAATTTAATAGTAGATGAAGAAGCACAAATACTGAGAAGTGCACTTGATATTTTAGTAGTGGTCAAAGTGTATCATTAAGCATTTTTGTAATTATGTAATTAAGACAGACAAACCTACATTGTTTTATTTTAAGCAGCTAAAACTCAGCAGCTAGACCAAGACTTGAGCCCCTTGTTTAACTAGAGTCCAGAGCAAGGGGGAATTTATTTGGAAACTCTCTCTCACATTCCTTTACTGTAAGTTTGCTGAGAGGAAAGAGGTTTGGAGAGAAAAGGGAACCCTTTAGGATTGAGGAACAGTGATCAGGCCAGCTACAGAGGAGTTTACTAGGGAAGGTCTGCTTAGAAAGGCAGGCAGGAAGTGAGAGGCAGCAGATTGGAAGACCCAGAGAAATGGCTGGAGGCCATCGCAATCCCAGAGCCACTCCCACTCCCAGCTCTTCCTCTGCTTACATCTGTGAGGTGTCTGTCCAGTCAGGACCACATACTATTGAGACTTCCACCCAGGTCCTGGTTTGGTGCTGTACAGACTAAGGTTTGCAGGTTCCTTTCAGTGTCAGCCAGGTGGGGGAGTGCCTGTGATGTGAGTGGTGCCTTCTGGTGGTCTCCCTCAGGGAGAAGGCAAGAGAGCTACAGGAGGAGATAGCAAGGCTCTGAAGTATTCTCCACCATGAGGACTTACTTAATTGATTTCATGCTGGAGGAAACCTCTAGGACTGCGGAGGAAGGTCTGCCAGAGGTGGTGCTAGACAAAGAAGAGAGCATGGACTCCTAGAAAGGTGAAAGCTGGAAGCTTGTGACCTCTAACAGCAAGAAGTTGTCATGCCCACCTGTAGTGGTTTGTCTGGAAAACAGATGTGGAGCGCTAACAACAGAGGAGGAGTGTGTTCCATTGGTGGAAGAGGCCAGGTCAGGAATCCCCCAGGTGGGGAGGATGGAGGCCACTGCCACAAAGAAGAAGCAACAGGTGTTGGTTGGAGATTCCCTTCTGCAGGGGACAGAGGAATCTATCTGCTGGCCTGATCTGTTGTCCCAGGAGGTTTGCTGCTTGCCTGGAGCCTAGATCTGAGGTATCACAGAAGGATTACTGAGACTCGTTCGACCCTCTTGACTACTACCCCATGCTATTCATCCATGTGGGCACTAATGATGCTGTCTGGGGTGACCCTGAGCAGATCAAGAATGATGACAGGGCTCTCGGTGAAAGGATGAAGGGGATGGGGGCACAGATGGTGTTCTCTATCCTTCTGGGCAAGGGCAAGGGCCTGGGCAGAAGTGGGTGCATTGTGCAAATAAATACATGGTTGCACAGGTGTTGTTGCCAGCAGGGATTTGACTTCTTTGACCATGGAATGTTGTTCCAAGAAGTATTGCTAGGAAGAGATGGGATCCACTTGATGAAGAGAAGGAAGAGCATTTTTGCTGACAGACTTGCTAACCTAGTGAAGAGGGCTTTAACCTAGGTTTGCCAAGGGATGGAGACCAAAGCCCTGAGGTAAGTGGGGAAGCGGGAGACCTGGAGGAAGCACAAGGAAGAGGAGGCAGCGGGGAAGACCTTCTCATTCTTCCTGAAAGGGCAATTGGCTAGTTACCTCAGGTATCTGTACGTGAACTCACGGAGCCTGGGAAAAGAGCAGTAAGAATGAAGTCCTTGCACAGTCGGGGAACTATAACTTGATTGGAATAACAGAGACTTGGTGGGATAGCTCGCGTGACTGGAGCACTGTCATGGATGGGTACAAACTTCAGTCAGGAAGGAGAGAAGAGGAGGAGGAGTTGTACTATATGTAAAATAGCTTTATGACTGCTCAGAACTCCAGTATAAAACTGGAAACAGGCCTTTTGAAAGTCTCTGAGTTAAGGGTCAGAGTGGAGAGCAACAAGGATGATATTGTGTTGGGGGTCTGCTATAAACCACCAGACCAGGAGGATGAAGTGGATGAGACTTTCTTCAAACAGCTAGCAGAAGTTTCCTGATCACAGGCTGTGGTTCTCATAGGGGACTTCAGTCATCCTGACATCTGCTGGGAGGGCAATACAGCAGTGCACAGGCAATCCAGGAAGTTTTTTGGAGAGTGTTGGGGGTAACTTCCTGGTACAAGTGTTGGAGAGGCCAACTAGGGGTCATGCTCTTTTTGACCTGATGCTCACAAACAGGGAAGAACTGGTGGGTAATGTAGAAGTGGATGACAACTTGGGCTGCAGTGACCACAAGGTGATTGAGTTCAGGATCCTGAGGAAAGAGGAGGAAGAGCAGCAGAGTAAGGACCCTGGACTTTGACCCTCCCCTGGGGAACTGATGGGCAGGATCCCCTGGGAGGTCAATCTGAGGGGGAAAGGAACCCAGGATATCTGGTTGTATTTTAAATTACTGAGGGTGGAGGAACAAACCACCCCGATGTTCAGGAAGACTAGAAAATATGGCAGAAGACCAGCTTGGCTTATCAGGGAACTCCTCAGCGAGCTAAAATACAAAAAGGAAGCTTACAAGAAGTGGAAACTTGGACAAACAACTGAGGAGGAGTACAAGAGCATTGCTTGGGCATGCAGGGATGAAATCAGGGAGACCAAAGTGCAATTGGAGTTAGAGCTAGCAAGGGACGTGAAGGGTAACAAAGGTTTCTACAAGTGTGTCGGCAACAAAAGAAATGTCAGGGAAAGTGTGGGTCCCTTCCTGGATGGGGGAGGCAACCTAATGACAGATGATAAGGAAAAGGCTGACGTACTCAATGCCTTTTTTACCTCAGTCTTCACAGGCAAGGTCAGCTCCCAGACTACTGTACCTGGCAGCATAGTTTGGGGAGGAGATGAGCAGCCAGCATTGGTTAAAAAAGAGGTTAGGGACTATTTAGAAAAGCTGGACATGTATGAGACCTTGGGGCTGGACACAATGCATCTGGAGGTGCCGTGAGGGAGTTTTCTGATGTGATTGCAGATCTGCTGGCCAGTGTCTTTGAAGACTCGTGGAGATTGGGAGAGGTCACAGATGATTGGAAAAGGGCAAATATAGTGCCCATCTTTGAGAGGGAAGAAGGAGGATCCAGGGAACTACAGACCAGTCGGCCTCAGCTCAGTCCCTGGAAAAATGGAGCAGGTCCTCAAGGAATATATTTCTAAGCACTTGGAGAAGCAAGTGATCAGGAACAGTCAGCATGGGAAGTCAAGGGAAGGGAAGAGACCAAGCGACCAAGGGAAGTCATGCTTGACTAACCTGATTGCTTTCTATGATGAGACGACTGTCTCTGTGGATGTGGAGAAAGCAGTGGACGTGATATACCTTGACTTTGGCAAGGCTTTTGATATAGTCTCCCACAGCATTTTTGTTGGCCATGGGGCTGGTTTGGTTCAATATCTTCATTAACGATCTGGAAGATGGGATGGACTGCACCCTCAGCAAGTTTGTTGATGACACCAAGCTGGGGAAGTGGTAGATACGCTGGAGGGTAGGGCTAAGATTCAGAGTGACCTTGACACAATTGGAGGATTGGATCAAAAGACATCTCATGGGGTTCAATAAGGACAAGTGCAAAGTCCTGTACTTAGGTTGGGAAAATCCCATGCTCTGCTACAGGCTTGGGACCAGCTGGTTAAACGGCAGCTCTGCAGAAAACAGACCTGGGGGTTGCAGTGAACCATATGCCATTGAATGTGAGTCAACAGTGTGGCCTTGTTGCCAAGAAAGCTAATGACATACTGGGCTGTATTAGTAGAAGTATTGCCAGCAGTTCGAGGGAATTATTCTCCTCTATTCTGCACTGAGGCCACATATGGAGTATGGTTTACAGTTTTGGGTCCTCCTTTTCACATACAGAAAGGATGTGGACAAGTTGGAGAGAGTCCAGCAGAGGGGCAATGAAAATGGTTTGGGGGCTGCGGCACATGACTTGTGAGGAGAGGCTGAAGGAACTGGGCTTATTTAGTTTGGAGAAGAGAAGACTCGGGAAGGATTTGATAACAGCCTTTAACTACCTGAAGGGTGGTTCTGAAGAGGATGGAGCTAGACAGTTCTTGGTGGTGGCAGATGACACAACAAGGAGCAATGGTCTCAAGTTGGAGCAAGGGAAATTTAGGCTGAATTTGGGGGGAAAAACATTTTTGCTAGGTAGGTGGTGAAGCCCTGGAATGGGTTACCTATAGGGGTGGTAGAATCTCCATCTTTGGAGGCTTTTAAAGCCCAGTTTGACAACACTTTGACTAGAGTGATCTAGTTTGGGGTGGTCCTAGTTTGAGCAGGGGACTGGACTAGATGACCTCCTGAGGTCCCTTCCAGCCATAATTTTCTATGATTTTTACAGTGTGGCCAGTAGACATTCTTTAACTGGAAAGTGCAGCCTGCCAAAGCTACAATTTGCATTGTGCTTTACTATGTATAATATTTTAGTAAATATACCTTCCAGAGATGAAATGGATCAAATTATCATAAGAAAAATCTCAAGGCTTATTTTATTTATGCCTCTGGCAATGCATATAGTTTCAGTAACTGATAAAGACTTGCATAAGGAAACATGACAGGGAACAACATACAGTATTTACATAGAATAAGATTGCTTTCTCATTTATATTAGTATGGTTCTATATTAGTATGGTTCTAAATTAGTGGTTCTTAATTGGGGTACTGCAAGACCCATTCAGGGATGTTGCAGCTTGAGCACTGCTGCCACCACCTGGTGGAACTGCACTGTGCACCTCCTGGAGGGCCAGCTAGGGAAATAGCTATGGTAGGATGCCCACTCATTGCACAGTCCTTTCTGGTCTGACCCCACACATTCTTCGTGGAAACAGAGGAGTGCCATAAAGGTGCAACTCTTCCATGGGTCTCTGTTTCTGGGGGATACCATATGGGGTCTGACTGGGAAGATCTATGGCAAGAATTAGGTATTCATGCCATAGCTGCTTCCCCATCTTGTTCTACAGGAGACATGTGGTACACTTCCACCTGGCTGCGGTGGTGGCAGTTCCGCAGTTGAGAGCCATTATCCTAAGAAGAGAAGAGTTCATGGATATGTTAACAGAGCACATGGGATTTGTATGCTTATGTATTAAAAAAAAAAATCAGCATTTATTATGGCAAGCCTTGTTCCCACTCAGACACTGTCTTTTTAAGCAATTCACAGCCTCTTTTCTGTAAATCAAAGGAATGAAAACGTTTTTATATAAGCAAGGATAAATCAGGTCAATTTTAATTGAATTCACTATTTTTCCTTTGGTGCGAGGGGAATCATTTTGTTCATAGCAAGGAGTCTCACAAAGAAGAAAAGTAACATACCACATTATTTTTTGTTGTTGTCTAGGATGTGCTCTTATCTCAGTTAATGTGGTCTAAATCAGGAGTTATTCTGTTGCAACTAATTGAGAATTTCTTGTGTAAGTGACAGAGAAATCAAATCTGTCTTAGGTGTTGTGGGAAAAGGTTAAGAATCCAATAAATTCCTTATTGAATAAGGACTTGCTGCTTTAGCTGTGGCAGTACAACAGTGGTTCTTAACCAGAGTGCCACCAAATTAAAAACAGTAGAGGAATGCCCTGATTCTAGAAAGGTTGAGAACCGCTGGTCTGAATAGAGTTTAATTGATCTCATTTTAAAAGTCTGCATTATTGTTCTGCAGTATATACTCAGGTTTCATTGTTTTTCCTGGGGTTTTTTTAGTGCTTTGGGGGATAGGCACTGTTTTGTTGTGGGTGTGTGTGTCTTTAAAATTCTGTTGGCATGAAAAGACCATGAGTTTTTGTACCTCTGTATTTTCTTTCTCTTTATTAGGCCATTTCCAGAATTGCACATTCACTATGTTATTCACATTATGACCTTAGTGTCAGTCCCTTTGCCAATACTGTTTTTCCCCACTCTTAGAGCTAACATCTTGAAATAGGGTTGATTTTTTTTTTTTTTTTTTTTTTTTTTTTAAGGAGCAACGCAACCCTTCACAAAAATTGCTAGGTTTTACTGTACATGTTATTTCATTTAAGGAAATTGAATGTATTGTCACTTAATGGCTAAGGCGCTGATCCTGCAAAATGTATTCAGTTTCATTCACATACAGTGCAGCAGTTTAGCACATCAGTAATTTGAAATGAATTTCTGAAAATTTTTATATGCCTACATATTAGAAAATGGCAAGACTCCTTTTTACATCTTGTAAATGCATCTTTTCAATTCTAGAAAGCCATTCCAAAGAGAATCTCATGAGGAATATGAAGAGCCTGAATTTTCACCAGACCTGAAAGCTTGGTTTAACAGTTTAGAATCTGATCTCTCCTTTTTAATGAAATTTACTGGCATTTGCCCTGCAAATTGCTCCAGGAAAACACTAGAAAAAAGTAAGTATCTGTGTGTTGCTGACACTATTATGGGCATTTCATTGTAGCTTTTGTTTTCAGTTATAGGCTGCAATTCAGCATTTAACATTAACAGAAAGAAAGCTGTACTCTGAAATGCTAAACATTAACACACCAGTTGCTGGTAAAAGTATTATGATTTTGTGATGCTTATTCATGCTACCAAATTGTCTTTGGTTCACGCTTAACAGAATTATAAATTTATAATATGAGAGGCAGGCAAGGATTTCTTAGGGTGATATATTTTATCTAAGGTCACACCTGACTTAATGAAGAATGTCTTATTCAAAAGCTTGTCTGATCCTATCCCGGCTTTTCAGTTGATCCAATAAAAGATATCACCTTTAGAAATCCTTGTCTCTCATAATTTCTGGACCATCATGGCTACAACATCACTTTAACACAAGGGTGGGCAATTATTTGGGCATGGGAGCCACATAGGGAGTTTTGTTGAGTTGTTGCGGGCCAGTCAGCACACACAACTCCCCGCTGCAAAACCTCGCTAAAACTCCTGATGTGGCTGTGGGCAGGCGGGAAGTGGTGTTCAGGAGTGAGACAGGCGGGTAAGATTGGAATCATGTGGCATGGTCACAGAGTGGCTTCTGCCCTGTGTGGGAAAGTGGGGTGTTTGTGGTGGGCTGGGGCAAGTGCATATGCATGTGTGTGTGTTTAGGGGGAGGTGCTGCTTGGGTGCTCGCTCTCAGGAACTGGCCATGGTTGAGGGGGGGAGGATGGGGCAGGGGGTGCGTGCAGCAGAGCTTGCAGGGTCCTGTGGTCCATGGCTGCCTCCATGGTGTTCTACCCAGGGCAGCCTGTAGCACATTCCAACCCAGCCCCAGCTAGCACACACACATTCTGCTGGGCCTGGTTCTGGTTCAGCTGCTGCTTGGCTCTCCTCACTTCCGGTGACAGTTCCTGCTCCTGCTCCTGCTTCAGCTGAGTGGCTGCTGGCCCAGGAAGTTGGGTGGAGTGAGTGGAAGGCAGCTGGGAGCTGGAGCTGGAGGCCTGCTTGCTGGGGCAGGAGCTGCCTGGATGAAGCTTCCTCCCAGCCTCAAGTTGTGCAGCAGGAACAGAAAGAGGAGTCACCACTGGAGGCAAGGGATGCTGAGCACCAGCTGCATTGGGCATAGTGTTGCCAGAAGCTGACCATGCTACAGGCTAGAACATGGTGTGGGCTGCCCCAGGCATGGCTCAGCCCCATGTGGAGCACCGTAGGGGCAGCTGTGGGCTGGATCGAATCAATTAGTGGGTGCCCCCCCATGGGCCAGATCCAATCAGTTGGTAGGTTGGATCCAGTACACAGGCCATGTTTTGCCCACTCCTGCTCTTGTTACCTGATTAGCTACCAAATTTTTAATAGAAACAGTTTTGCAAATAATATGAATATAGATGGAGATAGATATGCAAGATCTGGTTTGAATTGATCTTCTTTTCATATATGATGACTTTGCATTTAATTGTGTGATTTATGTTATGTGTAAAATCCATTGTTCATTCTTGTCAAAGACATTTTAAAGGTTGTTTCTGTTAATGGTGAGGGGGTGTAATAATTTTTTTATGTGATCATAGATCTTAAGTGCTTGTTAACCTTTATTTATTACAGCTGGAAATAAAACTATTCAGAACTACAGATTGTCAGGCAATTGCCACTCACTACCTTTTGACCTGGAATTTCAACTTCTTGAGATACAGGTAATGACATATTTAAAAAGGAGAAATCCAAATAAACATTCTATGCATGTTGATCAACAGCCAATCATGATAAGTACATGAATATGTTATTGCTTTGTTTACCTTCATTTGTAGCTGGAAACAGAACTATTCAGAAGTACATATTATTTGGAAATTACCACTCAAGGTCTTTCAGCTAGAATTTAACTTCTTGAGATGACCAGGGATCTTGATTTTTCTCTGTTTCAAAATCCAAAATTCTCTCATTAAAAACCCCATAATCTGTGTTTTTCCATGATTAAAATTGAACGCTGCTATATATACACGCATGTGTGCATGTATATATAGTTATGTATATTAGCAAATTGCCTGTTAAGAATGATGGGGTGGCGGGGGGAGCAGGCTGGGTCAGAGGCTCGGATCCAGGAACACCCCCCCTCCTCCCTACTTCGGGATTGGTACTGCTTAACACCCCCTCCCCCTGCTGTTTTGGGTCTGGGCCTGCTCCCCCCCCATCCTCACCCCTGCCACTTTGGGGTTGGGCTTGCTTTGCCCCTCCCCACCCACCACTTTGGGGCTGGGGCCAGGGCTGCTTCACCCACCCTCCTTCGGAATGATGTTGGGGGTAGGTGGGGACAGTGCATTGCCATACCCCATGTCGCTGCTGCCGCCTCCCAGGAGCTGGGGGGGAGCTTGCTCCACTGTCCCCTCCATCCTCCTTGGCCAGTACCCCATGCCACCACCACTTCTAGGGAGTAGGGCTGCAGGGGTGGGGAGCGGGGCCAGCACCGCTGGCCTCGCTTGTGTGCTCTGATGTCGCCACCTCCAGGGAGCAGGGCCGGGGGGGGAGGGGGCGGCTTGCCCCCTGGTCTGTCCCCACTGTCATGGCGGCACTGCGATGTGCCACCATTGCCTCCTGTCCGAATGAACCAATCAGTGTGAATAGTGTTACAGACAGACTAAGGCTTTTTTTCATATATATATAAAAATATATATATTTTATGTGTAACACACATATACATGTAGGTATCAGTTGAACACAATGTTTTATTGATATATTTACAATTTTAAAGCAGTTTGGAAGCCTATCAGTGCCTGAATCATTACAATAAAATAAATTCTAAATACCTGTATATTTTTGCATTTGATTTTGGTTTTTTTGTCATGGAAAATCAGCGCCTCCCCCATCCCCTTCACTCACCAGGGCGCAGGTCCAGCAGTGGCTGTGGTTCCCCACCTGCTGCTTTGTGGTGCTGAACATCTGTGATATGCTGGTGCCCTACTGCTGCCCGTGCCATTTTCTTCTTGCTCCCAAGCCACAGACCCAGCCCTGCTGGTGCCCCTCACTCCTGACCTGTTGTCCCTCACCTCCAGTCCCCAGCCCCCCAATGTGTGGGGAATGGGGTGGGTGTGGACACAGGGAATGCATGGGGGAGTCTGGGAGAGCACAGGTGATTTCGGGGAGGTGAGGGAGGGCATGTGACCCTACTCCCCCTCCCCAGATTTCTGCGCCCATGGTGGGGTGCAGGGTTGCAGCTGGGCTGGATCAGCTTCAGCCAGGAGCCACTTCTGTGGTCCAGCAGGCAGGACCCAGCATGGGAGAGAGCACTGTGCTACCTTGACCACCATGGTGTGGCACAATGGGCAGGGGGCACCTTACCTTGGCAGCGCAGTCCTCCCACCTGTGCCATGTCCCTGCCGCTGGGCCACAGAGGCGGGTCCTGCCCTGAATTGGTCTAGCCAGGCTGCAGCCTCATGCCTGCACTCCACTGTAGATGCAGAAATTTGGGCAGAGTAGGGCATGTGCTCACCCTGCCCCCTGCCCCTGCATTCCCTGTGCAGCCCCTTCCCCCTCCTCCGCCCCCATAGACTTCTCTGCAGGGAATTGCGGGAGCTGCTCTCCACCACAATTCCTGGCTGCCACATGCATATGTATGCATGCCCATACACGTGGTGCCCCGTGCCCCCTCCATCCCACTCCACAATCCCAAGCAGCTCTTTGCAGGCTGGAAGTCTGCCAGCCTGCAATGGGAAACCCGTGGATTTCCAGGTTTTTCTCCTTTAAAGAAAAAAATCCACTTTTTCTGCGGCAAGTGAGAAACCCAGATCCCTGGAGATTAGTATATTTAAAAAAGAGAATTCCAAATGAGTGTGTACAGTATTTGAATTAGAAGAAAGCCGGGACTGGTACCTGCATGTGCTTAGCCATTGCTCTTTTAATTAGGGTGATCATATGCCCGAATTGGCTGGGACAGTCTCAGATTTTGTAGGCCGTCTCAGCATCCTGGCCAGCTGGTGAAAATTGAAGCAGAAGTTCTGGAATCGGCTGCTGGAGGCAGAGGCAAGCAGGCACAGGCATGGGGCACAGTCCAGTGGGAGGCAGATCAGCATGGTGCGCCAGGCAGGTGGGCAGGCACTGCTGCTGTCTGGGAGCAAGATGGGTGGACTGAAGCAGGTGCCATCCTGCTTCCACATGGCCAGCCTGGCTCCTCGTGTAAAGTGGCTGGAAAAGGGGAGCAGGCTAGTCTGGGCACCTTTCCTAGGATGAAGTACAGAGCACTCTATCATGGGGAGCTGAAGAAGCCTTTTCAGCTGCTTTACACGTCTCCTGAAGCCCTGTGTATCTATGGTTAGTGTGGTTCATAGTTACATTCAAGGGAATATGTGGAAGTTAAACCAATATCTACGTACAGTAAAAGCCCTGTTATCCGGCATTTTACTAACTAGCATTTATATTAACCAGAATTTCCGGCCAGGCGGCTGGATGCAGAGGAGGGGGCTCGCATGCGGCGGTGGCTGCTGCCACCCATCATCCTGTGCTGTCGCTGCTTGTGTGGCCGCCATCCTCTCCCCCTCCCACCCTGCTCTGCATCCGGCTGGAAATCCCTGTGCCTCAGGTAACCAGCATTTTTAGTATTACCGGCAGTCCCCGCATTCCCCACTCATGCCGGAAAACAGGGCTTTTACTGTATTTTGCAAAAGTATAAACACAGATTATATTCTTAACATGAGAGAATTATAGATTTATGCAAATCAATAAACATCTAAATACGCTTTCTCTGGATCTGCATCCCTCCTGAGTCTGAGAGTTAGGTTAATATCCTTGGGAAAGGTAAAGCCTTGTCTTTGATTCTTCCTTCTGTGCATTCTGATTCTGATGGGATGGCTCATTTGCTTAGAACAGTGGTTCTCAACCTCTTAGACTCAGAGCGTCCTGTATAAGACTCCAGGCAGCCCTCAGAAAATGCCAGCTCTTAGTTTTCACAAGTTTTTTTCCTACTGAAATATACCTGTAATAGAGGAATTTTGTTGCAAAGGACTTAAAAAGACCACAGCAGGTCAGAATGTTTTTAATATGGATTTCTATTTGAAATCTTTGGGAGTATCTTGTGAATCATGTTTGCACACCTAACAGTGCTAACATTGTGTGGTGTTCTGTGGCACTTTTGAGAGGATCTCAAGGGAACTCAGGGTGCTGTGGCACCCTGGTTGAGAATCACTGGCTTAGAGAGAATTTCACTTTTAAAAAGAAGTCTCTGATGCCTTTTCTGTATTTGTTTTTTCCACTAGAGTTTCTCTGCTCCAACTTCACTTTGGGCTGCTGACCAAAAAGTAGAGAGAGGTAGGATTATAACAAAGTAGGACTGGGAAGGACTTCAAGGTCATCTAGTGCAGCCCCCTACTCAAACCACAATCATCCCTGACTTAATCATCCCAGACAGGTGTTTGTCTAACCTGCTTTTGAAAATTTCCAATGCTTGCAAGTTAGAAAACTCTTTCTAATGTCCAACCTAAATTTCCTCTGGGGCAGCTTGAGGCCGTTGCTTCTACTTCTGTCCCCTTTGGCCACAGAGAAAATCCCATCTTTAGCTTCTGTATCATCACCTTTCAGGTATTTGAAGACTGCTATCAAATTCCTCCCCAGTCTTTTCTTTTGCAGACCAAATAACCCTAGCTCTTTCAGCGTTTTCTTGTAAGTTTTGCTTCCCAGGCTCATAATCATTTTTGTTGCTCTGCGATAGGCTCTTTCCTATCTGTGCCCAGCCTTGAAGTGTGGGGCCCAAAACTGTACAGAGTATACCATGTGAGGCCACACCAGTGGTGAATAGAACAGAAGAATTACTTTCCTTCATTTGTAAGTGACACTCCTGTTAATACAACCCAGTACACTGTTGGCCTTTTTTCTGCAACATGGGCACACTGTTGGCTCATATTCAGCTTATGGTCAATGGTAACTCCCAGGTCCTTCTCTGCAGTTCAGCAGCCTAGCCTTGATGAAGTCAGAGAGGGACTTGCATTTACTGTCACTTATTCACTTGCATGATTTTCCAACTTCTTGGACCCCATTTTAGTACCTTGTGAACTCAACATTTGATTGAATATGCATCATTACACGTTAAAATGTTAATTCCCCCCAAACTTCTTAATTACGTATGAGAATATTTAATATACCATTAGATGGCAGTATTTAGCTACTTATGACTGACAAGGTACTATTTTTATGTTTTAGAAAAGTATGCTATATCTTAAGGATTGATATATTTGTACATAGGGTGACCATATGTCCCAGTTTGGCTGGAATAGTCCTGGATTTTATAGCCATCCCAGCTGGTTGGCAAGAATTCAAACAAGTGCCAGAATTACAGGGGCATGGTGCACAATCTGGCAGGGAGTTGGAGCTGCATGGTGTGCCAAGTAGGTGGGCAGGCACCGCTGCCTGGTCCTGCTTCTCCTGAGCAGCAGCTGGAGGCAGTGGGGGGAGCTGGGCTGGGCACCGCCCCTCCTGTCTGGGGCAGGAATAGCTGGGGTGGGGTGGGGGGAGAGTGCTGCTGTGAGCACAGGCAGCTCGTGTATGTGTGTGTGTGTGTGTTGCACCCCCTGACCATTGTACCTGGGGTGGTTGCCTACATTACCCACCCTTAAGGCTGGCACTGTGTGGCAGACAAGTTCACTCTACCAAATTATTTTCTCAGTGCAGAGAGAATGTCCTAACACTGCTAGAAAATTAGGATTTGGGCCTTAGTCCAAAATGTTAAAATTTGGGGATTATCATATCTATGTTTGAGAATCCCCCACCCTGTAAAATGGGAATGGTATGTTATTTAAAAGAACATTGACACTTTTTCACTCATATGCAGAAAACTTGTTGATCTACACATGGGCTTTGTAAATGTACTAGAAATTCCACATGACTTGTTAGTCTATTGTGCTCACGTGTTCCTTCCAACTACAAGTAAAACTTTAGCTTTGTATTCTACCATATAAAATCTGAAGAACATTGAGGAAACAGTCAATTAAGTAACAATTGCCTTTGTCTTGAATGTTTTAAATATTTCTATTTTGTTTGACTGCAAGATGGTTTCAGGACATAAAATGGCTTTCCGTTTCTTGGAATACTAGTTTTTTATAAAGATATAATTTTAGTCAATTACTATTAGCAGACTCTGCAACTCTCTGCCCATGTTGAGATTTTGCTGTAAATTTTAAACGACCTTTCCTTATGTTACGTATTCAAGCTATTGAATTTTGTAGTACTTTGGCAGTCTTTTTCCAGCTTGACTTATGACAGCATTAAGAATGCTTCTGTCCAAATAGCGCTACAGAATAGCATGATTTGTTTTCATTTGACTCCTGCACTTCCATTAAACTTGTTCCCTCTACCTTACATTTCCATATGTTCACATTTGTTGCTGTAGGAAAAACTGTATAATAATCCCTATTACACAGTGGAAATATTCATGTTCACTTTTTAAGGATATCTTTCCAAGTTCTGTTTTTCAAATCTTTCCGTATTCCTTTCCCAAACTTAGTACTCCTGCATGTTTTAAAGTGTGTAATACAAATAGTCTTTGGTCATTTTTTATAGTCATGTTTTATTAGTTGAATTTATTTCTTCATACTCTAGCTTTGTGAAAAATAACTTTAAATACATTGAAATTATAATTTTGAATACATTTAATTCCATTTTTCTCCAAATATTTTATTCATTATTATAATAAAGTAAACAAATTAAAGTAAAAATATGTGGCATAAAATATAAAACAAATGCAAGAAAAAAACAAGTGTGGTACAAATAGATCACTTCTTAATTTTGTTTGGATCACATTATTTGGTGTGGCTGTCAGACATAACAATAATTTGTAATACAACAGGGTGGGATTTTTTTTATTATTTTGATTTTCAGATAAATAGATTTTTTTCAGAATATATTTTAAGGACACTGGTACCTAACGTAGATTATATGATTTTAAGTAAACAGATTAATTTGTCTGTCTTCTTTAATGGTGAAGATTATATAATATACAGATATATTATTTCTTCAATGTAGAGTGAAGAAGGTATATCTGCTGCTGTTACTGACCTCAGCATTATAACGGAATCTGATGAAAATTGTGATATAAGCAAAATTATGTCCAGGTAAGGTTTTTGTTGGTTTCTGTTATTGTGTTCAGTCTATTCTGGCCTGTAGCAGCCACAGCAATGAAAGACATTGAGCCCTTATATCTGTGGCTTGCATGTGTCCAGTCAAGGTGTAAGTATGGCATTTTTACAATGTGGTAAGCAGTAGAAGCTGTAAAAGGCTTGAGCATTCTCAGTGAAGATAGTAGTTTTAGAGGTGTTTTGCTGCTAAAGCAGCAGTTCTCAACCTTTGTTTACTCAAAGCACCCCTCAGAAAATGCCAGTTTTTAGCTTTCACTTGTTTCTGGATTATGGAAAAATAATAGAGCAATTCTGTTGCAAAGAACTCGACCACAACAGGCTAAAATATTTTTAACCCCAGATTTCTTTTTGAAATCTTGGTGGGTTTTTGGTTGTAGCTATGTTGGTCTGAGGACACAGGCAGGCAAGGTTATTTGAGTAGATGTGATATCTATTTTTTCCAACTATTCAGTTGATCTAATAGGTTCTTGGCAAGCTTTTGAGCACAGCCTCCCCCCCCCCCCCCTTCCAATTCTAAGTCGAGAGGAGTTTTAAGATATTTCAAAGGCAAAGTCTCATGATTTTTTTCACTTGGCAAAAGAATGTATATTCTGCTATCCTAAGTCTCAGCTCAGTTAATACAATAATTTCTGCAGATTTCTTTCCCCAGAGAAATAAGTTAGCCTGAAGCAAACACCTGGTATGACAATCTGCAGCTAAAATAATGACCACTGAGTTCTGCAGAAGTATAAGCAACTGAAAATAGGGTCTTATAATGAGAAGCATTGGACAACCTTAATAAATATTATGCAGCTATCCATGCCTTTTTTATTTTTAATTAGTTCCATATTTTTGGTGATGTGACCTGTATAGTATAGTGCCTATTATATGCTCTTGTCAGAGAGAGAAGTCCTGCAGAACCAAAAGTGAGTTGATTTAGTTTCAAGGCATCATCTGACAGTGGGTAGTAAAACATTTAAATACACATTATAACATACATCTGGGTCATGAACATTTTAAGTGCTAAATGCTCCCGTTGTCTACATTAAGACATTGCAGTACTGACCACTAATAGGATAAAAAGCAGTTCTTTCATCATTGATTTATAAGCATTTTTGCCTGCTCTTCTGATTTGTGCTGCACAGGGGTGTCTTTCTGTTATGGAGAAGTTGGTTTGGCACGTCTCTTTATTTTGAATTAGGTGTCCTATCCTTTGTCTATCTGTAGTAAACTAATTAATTCATAAATTACCCCTCTGAATTTTTCTGACCATTTGCAAATATTTTTTCTTCACATTTCTTTCCTAGCTAATTGTAATTTGAATGTCAGTAGATTGCAGGATTTTGTATAACATTACATCACATCTGTTTTATATCAAAATTTTTCATGTGCTCAGATTTTTTTGTGGGGGGAGGGGTGGGACGGAAGGAGTGCAAGACATGAGCAAATCATTCTTACCACAGCTGCAAGAGTCATTTCTTTTTTCTTATGTCTGTCTGGGTGCAAACATTCATGAGTACTATATTGTGCTGAAATACAAGTTTTTGAAAACACTTATGGTTTTAAAAGAACTTTTCCATTTCTTTTAAAAGAACTTACTTTCTTATATTGCTTAATTTTGACTTATGATTACTGTTCTGTAAAAGTGGAATAGAAATTGGGATAAGGAGTATGTTGTTTCATCTTAAATTATTTCGCCTTTTTAACTTTGTGGTATAAACTATAACTTGAGATCATTGTCTTTTGCAGTTAAAGGAACTTTTAAAATCCTAATTTTTTGGCATATCATCATATTAAATGATTATATGAACTATTTGAGATCTAACTATTTTCTTCTGAAAGTGTTCTTGGGACACCAGGATACTTTTGATAAATGATTTCCAGATTGGCATAATGAGTTACTGGAAAAGTGACGTTGGTTGTGGGAGTGGGCTAGAGCAGATATTAACTGCAACATTGAATTGCTACTTGAAACTGTTTGACTTCTAACTGCCTTTGAGAATTCTGAAAACATCTAATATAACAAAGGGCTTAGTCCGTCTGTCTGTCTGTGACGCTCTTGGAGCCCTCTGGTTACTGAAACAACCAATCAGAGTGCTCTGAGAGCTATACGGACAGGAGGTGGTGGCACAGTGGAGCACTGCCATGACAGAAGGGCTGGAGTGGGGGGTTGAGGCCAGCGGTGCTGGCCTGACTGCCCCCCCGGCCCTGATTCTTGGAGGTGGCGGTGGTGCAGGGTTCTGGCGGAGGGAGGCAGAATGGATGGTGGGGCAAGCTCCTCCACCCCCCGTGTTCCTGGGAGCCAGTGCGGGGGAGAGGGGATAGGGTTAGCAAGCTTCCCTCCCCTACCTCCTCCCCTCATTCTTGAGGGGCAGTTTGCTGATTTTAAGAATCAATTGAAAAGTTGTAATGTTTAGCTTCAGACCCACCTGCTTACCTTCTAAAAACTAATGTTTCCTATAATCTGTCCTTCCTTTTTTCTGATCTTGTACAAGGATGCTGCATCTGCTTGGTCTCAAGTAGGTGCTCTCTAGCAGCCTTCGAGCGCACATCTGGTTCCAGCCAAGGATTATGTCCCTGGGACCTGTGTGTTGGGTTGCATGCAACCCCGAGGGAGGCCCCTACATTCACCTGCCACAACTTGATCTTCTTTTCTCTCTGTAAACTTTGCACCAAGTCGGCATCAACAGTTGGTGGGCTGGTGTCCCTCTGATGCCCATCTAAGAACCCGTTAGGAGACTTATCTTAACCCCCGTTCAAGAACACTGAGGCAAAAAACTCATTGAATAGCTCAGCCTTGTCCCCCCTATCTGTCACTAATTGCTCCTCCTTGTTCCATATGGCTCTTGTGCTGCCCTGCGCCTTCCTTTTACTCCCTACATACCTAAAAAAAGATTTTTTGTTGTCTTTACTTTGTGTTGCCAGTCTCAGCTCTGTAATTGCTTTGGCTTTTCTAACTGCCTCCCTGCAAGTGTGGGCCAAGTAGGTATACTCCTTGGTAGCTTCCCCCTGCTTCCACCGCCTATGTGCCTTCTTTTTTGCCCTTAGGCTCCCCTGGATCTCCCTGTTTAACCCAGGAGATTTTTTGACTCCTTTCTCCCTTTTCCCTCATACTGGGATAGTCTCTGTTTGTGCCCGAAGGATTGCCTCCTTTAGGAGCAACCACCCTTCCTGGACTCCCATCTCGCCAGTACTTTTATCCTGAAGTGCGTCATTAACTAGACTCCTAAGCACACTGAAATTAGCCTTCCTAAAGTCAAGCACTTCCACTCTACTAGTTATCTTACCCACCCTATGCCATATGGTGAATTGGATTGATTGGTGGTCACTGTCCCCAAGGTGACCACAAATCTGCAGCTCCCCTACCAGGTCCTCCCCCGTAGCCAACACCAAGTCCAGTAAGGCATTCCCCCTAGTGGGACTGTATACCTCCTGCATTAGATGAAGGTCCTGCATGCAGGTTAAGAACCTACATGAATGGTTGGATTTGGCTTACTGTTCCTCCCAGCAGATGTCAGGGTATTTTAGGTCCCCCATGACAACCATGTGCCTATACTGTACGGCCTCTGAGACCTGCCTCAAGAATTCAAGTCTCTAGCTTTTCCTCTTGGTGTGGTGGTCTGTAGCAGACCCCCACCACCAAGTCCCTTTCCCCTCGATCTCCATGTATCCTTACCCACAATACTTCAACATTTTCCTCTTCTGATCCCATTTTGACTAGGATAGATGTCTTCTCAACTTCTTCTAAACTGTGTAGATTGAACCAATAACCAACTGAACTGATGTCCAGTTTTCAATTGGGAAAGGCAGGTGGGGACTTGCACTGACCCAGGCCAGGAGGCCAGGGGCACTAGAGCACATCTCCCAGTCTGCTTGCTGTTTCCAACCCAGCCAAGTGGGGCCATTCCTGATTGGCTCCCCAGTACATGCCCTCAACTCCCTGTTCCCCCACAGGGGGTTGAGGACGCCGCCCCCCCCCCCCCCAACCAGGTGCTGGCACACCTTGGGGGGCCTCCCTTCAAATGGGTTGCCTCCAGCCTGGATTCCCCAGCCCAGGCAGCCCTGAGGGGCATTCCCTTCTTCCTCCTTCCCAACCACTGCTTGCTTCAGTTTCTGCCACAGGAGAGAGGGAGGAGTCCACTGGGCTGGGTGCCTGCCCATGCAGCCCAGCATGGGGGCACTGGGGAGCCCCTGCCTTGGGGGACTTCCCCCCACCCCAGCCCAGGGCAGCCCTAGGATGCTGAGGAAAATTCTTCCCATCCCAAACCCCATAGCTCCTTGCCTCAGCCACTGAGAGTCTCAGGGGCAGCCCATGGCAGCAGAGGGAAATTCTCCCACTCCTCAGCAGCTGGTTGCCTGAGACTTGCAACAGCTGAGGCAAAAGAAGAACTCCGCTGAGCTCCCTGGGACTGCCCCAAGCTAGAGGACCCTGGACTTGGGTGGAGGGAAGCCCCCCGCAAGGCAGGGACTCCCTGGTGCCACCATGCTGGGTTGCACAGACAGGCACCATGCCAGAGGATTCCTCTCTCCCTCCTGTGGCAGCAGCTGAAGCAATTGAATTGGGAAGGGGGAGGGAGGGAATGCCCCTCAGCTCCCCAGGGCTGCACTGAGCTAGGGGACCCCAGACTGAGGTGGAAGAAGACGCCTGAGGAAGCGGCTCCCTGGTGCCCGCACTCTGGGGCCTTGGGAACTCCTTCCCCCACTCTCCTGCTGCAGCAGCTAAGGCAAACAGCTGTGCAGGGAAGGGGGAGGTGGGGAATTTCCCCAGCTGCCCCAGTAGATGGAAGGCTGCAGAGGGCGAAAAAGCCCCCACCACAGGGGACTTTCCCTTTTTCTTCTCCCCCACTCAAACCCAGCATGCTGTGTAGATGGAGGGAGGGTCTAGGGGTTGTGTGGGCCGCCTCCCGATCCCGTCCATGTTGCCATGTGCGAGCCAGGAGCAATATGCGGACCCGTCTTTGCGCACGCGGGCTGTGGCCAGCAGCCCGGGCACACGG